GTCAGTGTACATTCGTATTCCTTCCTTCCGTTTTGATTTATTTTATGCAGTGAAAATTACTTTAAATTTGATTTTCAAGCTGCATACTTTTAGGGGCTAAAATCAAACACAATATTATTCATGTTGGCTTGGGGGATAAAAATACACACACATACATATGCATGGGTTTCCACTGTATGCTAGGAAAATAAAAAATGAAGTTTGTTTGTCTTCTTTTTTTGGTGTATTTATTACTCCTTGAAAAGGAAATCGAAAATAATATTCAGATATTATTTACTCATTTTTGGATCTTTTCTCTTTTATATCCATAATTTTATGGTGTAAAGTTTGTGGTAGCAAAGAATTTGATTTTTTGTGCAATATATATTAAAGGCTTTTTAAGTATATACAGCTGACATAACCAGAAAGGATTTGTTTTCAGATAATACTCAAACGGGATTTATTTTCTTTGGCAGCGTTTGGTAACGTGAAATATTACAGTATTTGGAAAAATCGGTTGTGTTATTGACTGTGGAAATGTACCGTTTTATAGGAATAATAAATTGAATACTAAAGAAGTTCTAAAACAAAATTATGTTTACAATAAATCCAGTAAAAATTAATCTGTTAATAGAAAGTGCTTGAATTATATTTTTGAAACCCCCGGACCGGACTTCATGTTGTAATCTAATTGTTAGAATCAAAGATCTGATTACAGAAAATGAAACGAAATGCATAAAATAATTTTAGGTAAGATAGGGTTATTTACCAACAGCCTGGAAAGAGGCTCTGAATCAGATCGTGACATTTTAGTATATTAGGGGACTTATATACATAGGTATCAATGGTCACTAAATTAAAACAAAACTCTGTTATTCTACTTTGATCAACGTCATGAGGCATAATATAAAGATTCCTCAAGGGTAGAAACGTCCGCATCAGAGTTGAAGATACAATGTCGAAACAGACACTTAACAAGACATGGGTATATACTTCTGATATTGGTATTATACAATTTGCTATATGTTATATATCAGAACCTCACGTTCGGTTTGCTGAACAATTCTCTTCTTTTACTTTCCCATGACAAATTTAGGACTTCTGTTTCCTCGTTATAATCGTAAATCCATAATTTGTCGCGGACTGAGTTCAAAATCAACTAATTTTTGAGATATATGCGTTATCAAAATTCGAATTCTATTCAGTTTTGATTGACGCTTAATAGTCAAAAAATTCCTCCATTATAATACATTTATCCTTGGCTATACACAAATCTCCCTCACGCAAATACACACAAGTGTACGTACATTCTACTTCATGTGTGTGTACTGGTGACATTTATATGATTTAAGTGCATCCCTTGAGGATTTATTATTTGCGTTCATTTCTTGTGTTGCGTCTGCGAGTATGGCGTTTTTGTGGTGAAGATATTTCCCCACCTCTTCGATTTCGAAAAGCCATTTGGTCCTTTTTTCTGAGTCTCGTCGGCCTGTGTCTGCCTAGCGGTGAATTTCCTTTGGCGTGTGTTTGTATGTTTGTCGAACTTTTGCTACAATTCTTTGTTTGGTGGTATTATTACCCACTTGTTTGTGTCTGTTGTCATTTGTTCTTAATGCATAAAGTAAACCAATACACATGTATGACAAACAACACAGACATAGATACACACACAACTACTATGAGATGTCATAAGGCTGAGAACTTAAATCGTTGTCTAGTGTGTTGGGGGTATTTGTGTGTGACATCATGATATGTGTAATTTCCTCCTATTTGCAACATGTGCGTAAATAGTAGATTTCACAACGTTTCCCCTTTGCATCTTCTTGGCTACTGATTTTTATTTTCATCTTCAAAGCCGAACGAAATCCTCTTTGCCAAGATAGGCAAGGCAAGGCCTTTTGAGTGTCATCACAAGAGGGTGTTGCCACGGATGGCTGATGTGATGTACTATTTGCGTGATGAGATGTGATATTTGTGATTTGCTTTTATTGGCTTTCAATAAATTGTAGACACATTTCTGTGTGGACAAAATTTTTAAGGCATTCTTTTTAATTGATTTCTCTGTCTATTTGATTGTATTTTGTATGCTGGTAATGGAGAGATTTCAATGCAATTTTATAATGAAACTGTAATGGTCAGTGATTTTGGCCAAGATTACATGTATACCCTTGGGGATATGGGATTGGGGCTTATTGGGTAAAATTCCATTATAATAAAGTATACAATTTTGAAGAATATAAAATGGAAAGAATTTTCTAAATTAGTTGTATTATTTTTATATGCCGCCAATACATTTGAAACTTATTTAAAGGTGTTTGTTGTAACGTGATTATTAAATATATATCAAAATAACAAAGCCAAAACCGCCATAAATTGATTTTCCTATAGCCAAGGGCACCATTTAAAATTACGCCTTTATACATATCTCATATTGAAAATCTTCCTGCATCCACCTTTTAAATACCATAAAAATCCTTTGTATTGAAATAAAATTTATGTCATTTGTGAGAAAAAGAAAACAGAAATAAAACAAGGATACAATGTTCTTATTTATGCAAATATCTCAAAACATTCATAAGTCAAAGTATTTGCAGGCAGACAGATATCCCATTCCATTCTATATATTTTTGTGTTCACCTGCTGACGGTGTCGGCGCAGAAGGTGAAGAGCATCATTTGCAGGCTGAATCTTTGGAAAATAAATAACTCTTAAAGATACTTCATGCCACGGCTGTTTGTTTTGTGAAATTACTCATAAGCCAGTGTAAATAACACAAAAACACAGTGTAAAGTCGGAATATACATACAATGACAATATCTAGTGAAAGGGGAATGCGATACGGAAAGGGGGAAATAAAGATACACAAATAAAGAAATGAGGATTATTAGAATAAACGAAAAAAATGTCTGACTGGATTTGAATGTGTTTGAATTTCAAAACCGTCTAATTTATTTGTCTTGAGGCGAAGAATGGAGAGTAAAAAGGATTTGTTTGGGAATGGAAAGCAGAAATCATGATTGGAGGATGTGATTTGCATTGAATTTTTTTAATATAAAAAAAATTGGGAACGAAGGAAAGATATGAAAAATCCTTTACAATTGTCTAGTATTTGAGAATTCTCCTCAGACCTTGGTTAGAATTTGTAGGATTAATTGTTATGTCTCTTAAGAATAATTTAAAGACAATCCCTATTATTTTTATAGTGTTAAGGAACATAAGTGGCACCGAAGTATGGAAGAAATGCTAGCAAAAGTGATATTTTGTGGATCCTTCGCATTCCCGTCGTAAGGAGAGAAGAAATAACCTCCAAGTTTTATTTCTGGGTTCTATTGGCCAGAATAAATATTTCAGATGAAATAAATTTCCATTTGTGTAACCTACACTATAAAGTGGAGTATATATATATATATATATATTCTAGATCAGAATAAAATTCTATGCCGATTTAGACTTGTCCGAAATATCGCAATATTTAGAGCTTTGAAACTTTGCACTGACAATGCTATTGATTCTATAATGTTTGATATTGCAAATTGGTTATGTTGGTCCACGTTTTGGTATAGGTCCCAAATAACATTACCGCCCAATTTTTGGTATTTGGTATAGAGGCCCCGCCAAATTCGGCCGAAGTTAACCACATTTGTATTCGTCCTGTTAAAATTAAACCCCAAATAAAATGGGGTATATGGTGAGATTACAAAATTCATGTCCTGCAAATGGGATGACATTTATCAAAAGGGCGTACTATCATTCGGGAATAAAACTTATATGTACGTAAAGAAAGTTTTATTGTCTGCGATCAAGGTGATGTCGTTAAGCAGCGAAGTTTCCAACTTATGCTTGTGATAATTATATTATTAATCGATACTTAGCGACATAAGTGCAAGTCGTTTAAAACATGAAAAGAGTAGATTGTATAGTTCAGGATATATCACCCTGCCTGGGCATCTCCAGGCCTCTTCTGAGTGTTTCCAAATTAGCCTGATTTCGATTTCGTCAGGCGATCTATAATTTCCTCTTCGGATCTGTTATTTTTTAGTGCATTACAGTGACTAAGGTCATATAGTCCTTTTTTATTCGGCAGCGGCGCCAGTTGACAAAGAAAAGAAAGTGGGTTATATGTTCCAATGATATAGTTTAATGTTATCGGTCTCGTGGACCTAAATCTGCATAATCTGACTTAATAATTTTCTTTGTGGTAAAGAACTCAACAGACAGTCAATAATGAGTTTAGTGTGAACAGGTTGGTCAAAGTGGCGAGAATATTGCGTATCAAACAATACAAATCAGGTAATTTTCAAGAATTGTACATAACTCAGACTTCTTTATGGTAACTTTTTGGTAAAAATCTTGGTTTACAGGTTTAAAAGATCATAAACATCGAAACGACGTACTTTATAAATTCCATACTGGAAAACCATTCATTTGTAATATTCTGAGTCAACTCCGAATTCGAATAAAAATAGAGGTTGAATCTGGAAGTAGCTAGCCAAAAAATCGCGGTTTCACATCATTTTTGGGATCTATGTAACATTTTTAGGGAGCGCAATAACTGCGTATGAGAATTGGAATATTTATGCCCGTAAAGCGGTTCGAAAAATTATAAATCAATCTTGGATTCTTAGTGAATTCCTTCAATTTTCACCTCATCTCATTCAGTGTCATAAATAGTTATATTTCGCAAAAATAGCACATTCGATAGTTAGCACATGCTTTGCAGTTGCATAGGAATTATTGCAGCTTTTCATTGTCATTTCCGAACTTAATACAATCTAAGAAAAATGTCTCATGCAACATAAAACATTATTTCAAACTATTCAGTACCATTTGAAACGCTGTAGTATATTTATCTTCTTAGGTTCTTCATATACACTTGTCTAGGTACTTCATAAAACGTGTTTTTTTATCTACTCTCAGTTACTGAGCTATAATCCGATGTACATCTTTCTTTTGTCTATGTCCTGCATTAAGTCCTCGAATGCAAAAGAAATTCATCATCCATAATTTGTGCTTTGACTTACCTGACTTAGTTCATCTCTAGATAGCCGAGAACATTTTGGCAGCAAGGCTTGCATATCATCTTCAAACTGGCCATCACCACAGCTATCGGTGGCATCGAGTGAATGAAACTGTTCCGAGGCATTGTCATGTGACATCATGTTGTTGTGAACTGCTGCCATGTGTGTTGATGTTGAAGAGTTGCCGTTTTGTCGATTCAGATCAAAACTTAAATTGGTTTTGCCGCCTGCAGTCGCAACACCACTACCACCACCACTGGAATTGGTGTTATTGCCACCAATCGAGCCATCTCCACCATTATTGTCACTTCCTTTAATGGAATCTAAACCACAAAATGGTAGACGTTGATGACTGTTTAGGCCGCCACTACTGTTGGTGTTGTTATTTGTAGTAGACGCTGTTGTTGCATTATTGGTTGTATTCGATTTTAATTGATTGTTTTGTCCGGCTGTTGCATTTAAGCCCTGCTGATGATGGTGTGTTGTTGTTGTTGTTGCCAATGTGGAATCGGAAGATCTGCAAATAAAGGAAGCCAAGAGAAAAAAGGGAAATTAATTTCGAGTTAATTAAATTTTGTGTGTTGATGCATGGCATGTTAAATGTTCGTTTCAATTCATTTCGCTGTTGTTGTTGTTTTTGTTATTGTTCTATGACCAAGTTTGAACTCTTTCGTTTGAACAAATTTGTTTGTTGTTGTGTGTTTACCTAAAAGGAGTTTCAAGTTTGCATGTTTTATGTTAATTAAGCCAAGTTTATTGCACCAATAAATACAAAATAGAAAATAAAAGCTCATTATCGACACAACTTTGTAAAAAAGTCCAATTGAACAACTTGTTGGCAAGTTGTTGAATGTGCTCTTTTTTGGTTTGGTGGTAAGAATGAAAGTGTGCAGTGAATAATTTTTTTGTTCGTAATTTCGTTTTTTTGGTTTGAAGTGGCAATAAACTTTTGTTTTACGATTTTATTAAATATTTAGATAGCAAATAAGTGGTTATTATTACAGACAGGCATACATATGTTTTCAATGAATCACGAACTGATTTTTTTGTTTCTGTTTTACTTATTTATAATAATATTTTGTTTGCAGTATGATTACTATCAATATTTCTATGTAAATATTTTGTATGGTTATCTTTCTGTTTTATATAAACAATAACAATTACATTAATTGTACTACAACGACACGAGAACGTATACATACGAAGATATTTATTATTCCTTTTAAATTGCTATTTATTTAAGCCGAAATTTATATTTCACATATGCAGCAACGATTTTCAACTGTCAATAGAAAAAACATCAACTTTGATTTTTGAAGAAAATGCAAAAAACAAAGCGTTGCGAAAAACTTTTCCTATAAGAAATTTGTCAATGAAAAGTTTTTCCATTCAAATCAGTTTATTCGTTGAAAACAAATTTGAAAGACGATTGCTGCAAGCACAATGCATTTGTAGGTAGCTATGATTCCTTTGCCTTCTCGCTGAAATAGAAAACTACAAACAAAGCAGCAGAGAAGTTTTTTTTTATTTTCATGACATCTTCATCATAGAGTTGTATTCATCTTTTACACCCACATGAATAAAAGTTTTTGAAAAAAGGAAGAATACAAACAATGGAAATTAATACTTCTACGTGTACTTATGCGTAATTTTGATGGATCACAAAGCAAAAAGTGGGAAGGCGAAAAGTAAAAACCTATTATTTGCCATATAAAAAAGATTGTTCAAAGATTATCAAACAAAATTGAAATGAAAATACGAAAACAGTTTCAAAGGAATCTTATTTGAAGAGAGCTATTTTCATAAAATAAATATTTTTTTATGATTATTGATTTTTCAATTTGAATAACATTCAGTCGAATCAACCGAAAAAAGCAATAGTAGAAATAGCATATTTATTTTTCAAATGTTCCGAATTTTTTGTTGTCAGTTCTGTTGTTTATTTTGTTAAAATTGATCCATGCTGATTGAAGGTTCATTGTTTTGAGTAGTTGTCCTGCAATCCAGGGGAAATCTAAACTAATTATTAGTTGAAGTTAGAAACAGAAGTTTTCACACACAAAATAAAGTAAAAACAAAAGTTTCCGAAATAGAACTCAAAATATGTTGAACTGGATATTGTTGAATGCTTTACAAGATATATTGACTGTGTAGATACATTGGATGCGGAGTGTTAGAAATGAAATATTTTTTCTTTGTAGAGAGATTTTTTCGTACAAAATCCGACCCAAATACAAATATAAATACACTCGTGATTAGGTAAAAAATCTGACAATAATCAAGAAAAATATGAAGATTTTCTATAGTTGGTTTGGTTCCTACGAAAAACATTTATAGAGTGTTAACAAATGGTGACAAAAATGGTCAAATTCTATTTTAATTCGCAGAGGCTAAACATAGACTAATGAGCCTAACGAATATTATCCATTACATAGCCAGCAATTATCTGATTTCTTTTGAGCCTGATTTCTTTTCAGCGACTTCAGAATTTAATGTGATTGTCGGATAATAATAGCTTTCATTTAGACTAGACTTAAGGGCTAACGAGTCCTCACATACCCTTGTATACGATTTAAAATATGTCTCATCGAAATATCGGTTTTAGATCCCAAGTTCCTTTGGATCGAACTAGTTTCAGAAGTAGAAAGAACAAGAAAAAGGTTAGCAAATCGAGATGTACAGGAGCCAGAAGAAATTTTACCAACGAATAAAAGAGCACTAAGGAAACTTAGTGACAAATACAGATAGCGTGTTGAGGATCTGGAAGGAGCACTTTGTAAAGTGGCGGTGAAGAAGGTACCTCAGAACCAATACGAAATGACCGTATAGAGTGTATACCACCTAGCCAAGATGAGGCCAGAATAGCAATTAATCTACTGAAGAATAATAAAATAACTATACCCATCGTCACCTGGGTTCGCAGCCGAACTATTCAAGGCCGGTGATCAGATGCTGATCAGGAGCATGCACCAGCTGATGGCCAATGATTGGAACCTCAGCATTCTGTGTGCCGTTCACAAAAAGGAGGCAAGACGATATTATGTTCCAACTAAAGAGGAATTAGTTTTCTTTCCATGGCATATAAAGTGTTATTCAGTGTGCTGTGTGAACGACTGAAGCCAATGGCCAATGACATTATTGGACCATACCAATGCAGCTTTAGACCTGGCAAATCCACCATAGACAGATTTCTACACTGCCTCAAACCCTGGAGAAGACCCACGAAAAATATATCGACACATTCCACCTATTCGTCGACTATAAAACCGCATTCGACAGCCCAATCCGCTCAGAGGTATTTAACATCATGCCACCTTTGAAAAAATTGAGAAGGAGTCTGGTCTGACAGTAAATGGCGAGAAGACTAATCTGGTAATATCAACACGCAAGACCTCAAGTAGATTCGGATTAACTATGGACTTGAAAACTACAGCTTTGAGGTTGTCAGAGATTTCATCTACATCGGTATCGTTTTCAATAAAACAAATGACATCACTTTTGAGATTCGGAGAAGGATAGTGTTGGTCAACAGAAGCTACTATGGTCTATGTAAGCAATTTAGGAACAAGGCCACCTCTCGCCAGACCAAACATACTCTCTACAAAAAGTTGATATTACGCGTGCTGGTATATGGATCAGAAGCATAAATACTTGCGCAAACAGATGAGCCTACTCTTGGAGTGTTTAAGAGTGTGGCATATTTGTTTTTATTTAGCTTTGCACATGGTTATATTTTTCCCTAATCCAAAAATCGGTTTGTAAATCTCACATAAATATAACAGCGTAACCGAATTGATCCAAACTGTTCACATCGTAATATATTTAGCAAACCTTCATTAAATCTGAAGATTGAATTTATTGGGCCTTCCAAGCACTAAAAATGGTTCGGTATTGTTATATGGGTGCTATATCAAAATGTGGATTTATATTGGCAATTTACTGCGTATACATTGTTTATTTGAGAAAATGAAAAACCAAACTACCTAAACTCAAGTTGCAAAACTGGTCTAGGAACATTAATGTACCGCAAATTAAGCTGATCCTTTGCATGGCAGCGATTATGAAGTTATATTGAAAACTTTCTGGAAATAAGAATCAAAGCCATCCTTAGAATACCTAAAATGAGGCATATATCAAAGTGCGTAAATGGGACGGAATCTTTATATAGGAGCTATGTCCAAGCATCGATATATGAAGAATATATTCTGCATAAATGTGTTATAACCTACAAGACCCCCTAAAATCTCTATTTTCAAACGATTGAGCAACCTTTTCGGCCTTCGAATAGTTCGGTTAAGAATAGTGAACCACTTTGTTTCAGCTCGGCTTTTTTTACCCGACTTTCAGATCAAATTCTCTTTGAAATATGAAATTGTTTTAAATTAGATTTAATGTGTGTGTATGTAAGAATATATGTGTATCATATTTGAATCCCTCATAATGGTCAATATTTAAAATTTGACAGACACTAATTCTCTCTCTCTCTATGTACAAATAACCACGAATACTTATAAACTATGATAATTACAATAAATCAGCCAGTCAAAACTACAACAAATGACTGACAGCAGAAATAACACTTTCGTTCGAAACCAAATTGTTTATTTATAAAATATATTTGTTTATTTTTAAATCGCAGAAAATCATAACCTCAAAGGCTTTACATCATGTATATGTGTCATATTTAGAAAATCCACCCAAAAAGAAATATGACAACGAAATATTTGAAATGAAAAATCTTAAAATATTCACATGTTGATGAAATATATACTTAAAAATACCAACAACATCAAAACACACTCACACATGGACAAAATTGGAAGGGAAATTTTACAGCAACAGTGAAGGTCAATGTATTGAAATGGATAAGTCGAATGATAGACTGTCAAATGTGAAAATTATCTGGGGTACAATTTGAAGATAAGATCAAAATTTTTGTTCTTTAGAATTAAAGTAAAAATTTTGGATCAAGTTTTATATTTGAAAATATAAAATATTCATTATTACAATGTCTTCCATTTTTTGTAAACATATAAATTTGTTAATCTGTGTATCGGAAAATATATATTAGAATAACAAACATGGTTTATTAGTCTGTCAGTAGTAGTCCACTTTCACTCAGCCATCTGTGAGTAGGCGCTGTGTTTAAGTAGAAAGCAAATGCAATTAACGGCTGTCCAACTCAATTTCCAATTCCGAAAAACTTGTAACCCAGAAGACGGGCGACATCGTCATAAAAATTCCTAAACATGCATATTTTTTAAATGACAGCTTGTTTTTGGAATTTTGCACGTATTATAATTGCTATTATGATTATTAGAACATTAGAATGCATCGGGCACCACAGAAATAAACAGAGTGTGCCAACGAGTGAGCATAAATTGTTTAGTGTGCTATGTGCCTTTCCGGGTAGGCAGCAGTAGCAGCAACATCACCACAATCATCAACACCACACAATTTGACTGACCCACATTTGTTATAACGCCTCTGTGTTCTGCAATCGTTCGTTCGTTCATT